ATAGTCATTGTCAAAGCTCAGCAGGACACTATTTGTTGTGTTAACTGTGCCAACATAACCGATGACGACCTCCACACATTCTGGCTCTGTCCACCAATGCAAAACTCCTGGAAAGTGTCAAGATAATCCAAGATCATCCCATTATTCCCATGATGGAGATTTTAGTTCAATAGTAACAATACATAAAGTTACCTTCAAAATTAATCTCACAAAGTAACAATAGACTCACACGTCAATAAAATCTATGAGGCTGTAGTGTTTTGGTCTCATGCAAACTTTGCTATAATTCTACTTCTTTTTGTATTTAATGATAAGAAATCAGTCAGGCAGAGAGAGTTGCCAAGCCATGAAACAGGAACAGCAGGTTTCCTGGCAAAAGAGGAAGAAAGTTTCCAGCTTGCAGATTTAGAAAAATAGGTTAAACTATTGGTTATTTCAAAGCATAGCAGTTTTAAAGAATGCAATCTGAATGCAATCTGAACAAATCTAATTGGATAAGACCCAAAGTAAGATACTTTTAATATTATTTTACTATTCCTGGTTTCTTTTCAGAAGAATGCCTGTAATAACTTACATTATTATGGTCACAATAAAATAAATGAATGTGAAATCAGAGAAGCTAAAGAGGTTATAGATGTGATTTGGACATTGAACTTGAAATGATGTAAAAGGTGTACCTACAATTAAAGAGCACTGGAGGTAGATGGCAGGTGAAAGGTCAGGGAAAAGAGAGGAGAGATGACCAACACCTCAGAGTTTGCTGATTTGGAAACAGATTGAACAACTTCAACCATTGAAAGAAAGGACTGTGCAGGTAAAGGGTGTAGGATGACTTTTGAGCAACACCGGGACATAAAAACAGACATCAGGTTATAATGTCTCTGAAAAGTTTCATAGTCAAAGATTGAAAGAATAAAAGATTGAAAGAGTCAAAGATTCAAAGAGTCAAAGTTTCATAGAGTCAAAGATTGAAAGAATCAAAGATTGAAAGATTGAAAGAGTCGAACTTTGAGAGTCAAAGATGCAAGGAGTCAAAGATTGAAAGAGTCAAAGTTTCATAGAGTCAAAGATTCAAAGAGTCAAACTTCGAGAGTCAAAGATTCAAAGATACAAGGAGTCAAAGATTGAAAGAATCAAAGATTGAAAGATTGAAAGAGTCGAACTTTGAGAGTCAAAGATTCAAAGATGCAAGTAGTCAAAGATTCAAAGAGTCAAAGTTTCATAGAGTCAAAGATTCAAAGAGTCAAACTTCGAGAGTCAAAGATACAAGGAGTCAAAGATTCATAGAGTCAAAGATGCAAGGAGTCAAAGATTTAAAGAGTCAAAGATGCAAGGAGTCAAAGATTTAAAGAGTCAAAGATGCAAGGAGTCAAAGTTTCATAGAGTCAAAGTTTCATATAGAGTCAAAGATTCAGAGTCAAAGTTTCATAGAGTCAAAGATTCAGAGTCAAAGTTTCATAGAGTCAAAGTTTCAGAGTCAAAGTTTCATAGAGTCAAAGATTCAAAGATTGAAAGAGTCAAAGATTCAGAGTCAAAGATGCAAGGAGTCAAAGATACAAGGAGTCAAAGATACAAGGAGTCAAAGATTCAAAGAGTCAAAGATGCAAAGAGTCAAAGATGCAAGGAGTCAAAGTTTCATAGAGTCAAAGTTTCATATAGAGTCAAAGATTGAAAGAGTCAAAGATTCAAAGATTGAAAGAGTCAAAGATTCAAAGATTGAAAGAGTCAAAGATTCAGAGTCAAAGATGCAAAGAGTCAAAGATTCAATGAGTCAAAGATTCAATGAGTCAAAGATTCAAAGAGTCAAAGTTTCATAGAGTTAAAGAGTCAAAGATTGAAAGAATCCACTGGGTTCAGACCCCAAAGGCAAAGAAAAGGAACTGGTGTCTTCCTTCCGTGCGGTCAGCTCACCTACGTCTCGGGCATACAGTAACAAACTGAAGAAACATCATCAAACTGTCTGCTTACTTAGTAATCTAGAAGAATTGTCCTGGTGGGACATCCCAGCTCTCCTCTCCAGGGAGGTGACCAGGAGGTGTCCTAACTAGATGCCTGAGCTACCTCAACTGGCTCTTCTTCCCCAGCAGGACTTCTACTCTGAGTCCATCCTGGATGATTGAACTGCTCACCTTATCTTTAAGAGAGAGCCCAGACACTCTGCAGAGGAAACTCATTTTGGCTGCTTATATCTGCTATGTTGTTCTTTCGGTCATGACCCAGAGCCGGTGACCTTAGGTGAGGGTAGAAATGCAGGCTCCTGGATGGTCATATGGACTGCTACATTGAGAACTTCCCCTTTTCTCTCATTCTTTGGTCTTGTCAGGAAGTGATGGCACATTGAATGTCAGTATAGAACCTGATATGGGCTTGAAGTGTTTTGAATCATCCAAGATTTCTGAGTTGCCAAAAATATTCCTTCTTCCAAATCTTCAAAACGCATCTTGGACTTGTCACAGCTAAATTATTTAAAGAAGTGATTCTTTTGATTACTGCCTCCATTGTAGATATGATTAACCTGCAGTACATACCATAAGATTTTAACCTTATAACTTTCTGTCAATCAAGATGACTTAGTAATTACAAACTTGTTTCTACTCTTCCTTTCCTATCTAAAAATTCCTGATAAAATAGTTTCTAATCAAGTATGTGTGAATGTAAATATTAATGAGCTGTTTGAAGAGTTTCAGTCAGTTTTCAGAGCTCAGCATAGCACTGAAATATCACTACTGGAAGTTACAAATGATATTCTGTTGACCTCTGCAAATGGACTTGTGTCTGTTCTGGTTTGTAGATTTCAGTGCTGCTCTGTGATCAACTATATCAACAAAGTTGATCACAATATTCTCTTAGAATGGCGTAAACATATAGGGGCCAAGGAAACAGCACTAGGCTGGTTTAAATCCAGTTTGTTCATGTAAATGACATTTCTTCTCCACACTCCAGAATTACTCATGGAGAAATTACCACAGGAGAAATTCCTTTTACTGTATGTACAGACAACATGGGATAAACTTTCACTCTCATATTCTCTCATGACTCTCATATTACAGGTTACAGGAATGTCTTCAGGACATTAAAATATGGACACTAAACTTTTTCCTTTTAAATTCTGACAAGACAGAAGTTGTTTTGGGAACAGAGCCTCTGAAAAACAATCTTAGTCAGTCACTTGACCTGGATGGCATTAAATTGGCCTCGTATTATTTTTTTAGCTAGGACATGTCATTTAACTCACATATTTAGCAAGTTTCTAGCATTTGCTTTTGTTCATCTTCAAAATATTGCCAAACTTAAAAATATCCTGTCCAGGAGTGATGCTGAAAAACTAGTCTATGAATTAGTGACAGCAAGGCTGGACTATTGTAATTCTTTGCTATCAGGAAATCCACAAAATACAATTAAAATTCTTCAGCTGATCCAAAGTGGTGTAGCAAGAGTTCTGATGAAAATTAAAAAGAGAGATCATACTTGTCCTATTTTAGCTTTTCTTCATTGCCTCTTTGTTAAATCCAGAAAAGAATTTAAAATTCTTCTTCTCATAAATATAAATCCCTCATGTGTGAGTCTGCCCTGTAACTTTGTACTGTCTATTGATTTCAGGGCATAGAAGCCTTGGCCCTGTCCGACTGCCTCAGGGCAGCTGTGGCTACACTCCCAGCTATGTGAACATGGGGCTGAATGGGTATTATGAAGAACTTTGTGGTCCTCTGGACTTGATAAAGAACTATAGAGGTATTGCTGCTTGTTCTTCATAAAAGGACTCAGTTGTAGGTAGGTCACTTATATCAGAAGGATGCCTCCAGTGAGGGTCTCCCTTTGGAGGTTTTCTTAGCATATTCCACTTGGGGGAGACACAGAACCAGGTGCAGCGCTCGCTCCAGAGATAAGGACAACTTATCCTTTCTGGTCTGGGATTTCCCAGTGTGTTGCTGGGAGAGGGCTGTCTGGATCTAACTCCTGCAACTGTTATCCCAGTGACCTGATCTCAAATTAGAAGAGGACAACGCGTGAATTGAAGAAATATAGCAAAGCTATGTGTTAGTAATGTAAATTATATGGTTTTATGTCTTACTGTTTGAGGTTCTGTAGTATTGATATTGTGATCATTTTATGGGTGTAAAGTATTTTAGAATTATGAAGTTCCAGTCCATTTTTTGGGAACAACATGAAGCTTTTGGCCAGGAGGCCTACTGAACCTACTACATTCGACCCACTGATGATGACCAAGGCCACCAAGACTGGCTGCAGTCCAGGGGCCCAACTTGTTTCCTTTCATGGCCCGGGTTGTCAATGTGCTCCTGTGGTGCAACACAGTCACCTGGTTCAACAAACTAACTACATTTTTGCCAGTAAAAGCTTTTGCTTTTACTACAGCGTATTCAGATAGATAGATAGATAGATAGATAGATAGATAGATAGATAGATAGATAGATAGATAGATAGATAGATAGATAGATAGATAGATAGATAGATAGATAGATAGATAGATAGATAGATAGATAAATAGATAGATAAATAGATAGATAGATAGATAGATAGATAGATAGATAGATAGATAGATAGATAGATAGATAGATAGATAGATAGATAGATAGATAGATAGATAGATAGATAGATAGATAGATAGATAGATAGATAGATAGATAGATAGATAGATAGATAGATAGATAGATAGATAGATAGATAGATAGATAGATAGATAGATAGATAGAAGTGTTAATAAAACAATGAGTAACCTGGTTTGTTAGAGCTGAGATTAAAACAAAACGAGAGTTGTTAATGTGACTCATTCTCTCCAGGAGCCCAGATTTGGCCCCAGGCTGTTAAAGTTCTATGTGAGCCTGTCTGTCTGGGAATCTGTAATTAGCAGACTTCTGGAGAAGTCATGAAACGGCATGTTTGTTGTTCTCTCACACCAGGATCAGGTAACCCACAGCTACTTCCTCTTGTGTGGGGGCGTGGAAACCCTTTGGCAGGGTGTGAAATCGTCCTTCCAGTTAAAGCGTCCTTCCTTTACCTGATCGGACCAGACGAACAACAAGCGCCAGCGGCTCACTGGAACCACTAGACTTCTTCCAGTTATCATGATTCCACTGTCCCGGTCGTCTTTGGTGTTTTTTTTGTTTGGGGTGAGTTCAGATGCCTTGTGTGTATTTTAGAGATGCTTTGTAAAATCAAAATCTGCTTCTCTCAGGTAGAAACCTGCAGCTTTACTTTTCATCGCGTGTAAAGGGCGTGGGTCTGAATCGACAACATTCCATGCTCTGACACGCAAAAGGAATGAAGTCTGTTTTTTACAGAGTCCCGTAGGGAACATCGGGAATTTTTTTCTTTTGCGTTCCCTCGCAATACTGTACTGATCAGTTTATGCGGCATAATTAAACACTGCAAGCCTTTCTTACGGCGGCCGCTGTACTTTCTGCTTTCATAAGGTCATGTGAGATTTTTCCATGAATGTTAATATCTCTTTGTGAAATATCTGAAGTTTTATATCTTTTTCTTTAGGATAGAAAGGCACTACAAACCTATGATATAAACAGAAATAGTCCAAATTAGGATGTATTTTTATTTATTTTCTACTTATGGAACGTTTCTGAGTTATTATCGTGGGGTAATCAGTCATCTGACAGTTTTGATTGTGTCTCTATTGTGTTCATAGTCTAAATGGTTTAAAGAGCTGCTTTCAGTGCTGTTCCATCTTAAACATGCAGTAAATAAATCAATTTTCAGTCAGTGTCTTGCACCAAAGAGTTAATATTAATAAACACATTTTCACTGAGGCTCCGTAAGAGCCATATGAATGAAATAAGTAATTATTGATATGACAGGAGCAAACGCCTTTGATACCTGGATGGTGTGTGTGTCGATGTGGGCGTGACGTCATCAGGTTACTGGCCTGCTGGCTTTGTGTGTGTGAGGAATCAGATGGTCAGTCCTTGCAAAGTTGGGAGCCTGATAATCAAAATGGAATAAATTGATAATTGTGACAAAACAAAGAAATGGTTTGGAGTTGATTGATACACGGACAGATTACATTCCCCGAGTTCATCCAGTCTGGCCCTCGACCACCATTACTTTGCTATATTTTATAATGATAAAACGTGTTTGGTATTAATCAGTTGGTGTGAAAAACTGATTGAAAATCGATTTATTCGCTGTATGTTTATGTCTGTTAATGCTATGGAAGAAGGGCACTGAAAGCAGCTCTTTAAACTATTCAACACAACAGAGATCAAAACTGTCAGATGACTTAATACCCGCAATAATAATTCAGAAATAGTCCAAATTAGAATGTATTTTTATTTATGTCCTACTTACGGAACACTTCTGTTTATATCATAGGTATGACATATACCTATGATATCCTTTCTATCCTAAAGAAAAAGATATAGAACTTCAGATATTACGGTATTCAATTATGCCACATAAACTGATCAGTACAGTATTGCGAGGGAACGCAAAAGAAAAAAATGTTCCTAAAGGGGCTCCATAGTTTCTCATTTACTGATCCGAAAGAAGAAAAAGTCGCTGAGGTCCTAAAATCTGATGAGATGGCAGGAGCTGATTGACACAATGATGGATTCATTATTACTCTTCACTTTGACGATGCTTGTTTGTAAGGCAGAGCATTAAAAATTGATTAATGAATAAAACTAAATAAGAATAAATTTGTAATAATATGAGAATAAAATCATATTTTGAGAGTAAAGTCAACGTTAAGAGAATAAAGTTACCTGAACAGTCATAACATGACTAGAATGCAGTAGTATTATATTATTGCTTTATTCTAACACATGTTTATTCTCGTCATTTTATCTTTTTATTGTCTTATTAAACTCCATCGTAGGTTCAGGCTTCTTGAAGTCTGCTTCATTTTCAGGAGCAGGCTGTGTTCTCTAACTGCATTTAATTAAATGTTTCTATCTGTTGCACTGCCTTTAAGCAACATCCTATATTAAATAAAAATGTGTTGGTATTTGTAATTTTAGTCTCAGAAAAATAGATTCACTGCAGAACAGAAACTTTGATGACGCCAAATTAAAAACAAAAATGTAGTTATAATGTGGAAAGTTCATCCCTCTAGCTATATTTTTCATTTTAGAATGTCATGATTATGTTCCCAGTAAAAACAAAATAGTCCTAGAACCTTCAAAATATTTTTCTTTTTCATGTTTTTTTCCAGCTTCAACTGTCTGGTTCAACTGTCAACAACACTGTGTTTCCATTGTGTCATGACAAGGCATATAGCAACCAGAACTGGCTTCTACAGCAGGCTCTTAGAATGACATTACACCAGTTAGTTGACTTGCAAAATAATGATAAAAAACAAAAAAAAACTGGTGAAATTTAATTTGATGTGCAATTTCAACAACTACCATTTTATTTTCTACAGTTTAGTTCGACTCAATTCACTCTATTTTATAGCGCTAATTCACCACACATGTTCTCACAAGGTACTTTACAAAAAGAGTCCGTTCAGTCCAGTCATACAGACAAATTCCAAGCCAAGTCAGTCATTAAGAATTTGAAAGTGTCTTTAAAAGAGGACTCAAGTGCCCAGCATGGTCGGTCAAATGTGTGGTCACATGGTTGCAGAATGTTTTTCTTTTTTTTTTTGCACAGACCCGTCAAAATCCACTAGACACCTCCGACTGCAGGACACGTCATGTGTTTTATCATTTGTGTGAATTATAACAGTATCATGATAAGCACAGTGATCATGGTATAAAGTAACAAATATTACGAGTTCAGAGCAGGAGGAAGTAGGACAAAAAAGTGTTCAAAGTAGAAAAAGTTCAATTTAATTCTTCCAAAAATAGAGAACAAAGCATAAAGATTTAATGCAAGAATAAGTCAAAAAGGATAAATGACAAATTTGGGCCCAAATTAACTGAGGTCAACTGAACTCTAACTGAACACAAACAAACTGACCTGCAAACAAAGAACAAAAGGCTGTTTAAATAGGGGTGGAGTAACCTAGAACGACCACATGAGGGAGACACAACATAACAAAAGAACAAACAATACAAAATAAACTAAAGTATCCTATGAAACAAATAAAATAAAGCTAACTTTTACTTAGCAGAAACAATAGTAAGTTAATATTTAAGTGACAAAATTGACTAATTAAATCAACTTGAAGCTTCAGTGTTTTAGAAAACAAATGGTTCAGTTCAGGTTTCCTCCTCCAGCTGGTTTGTATCAGCAGCACCTCAAACAAAAAACAAGTGTAAGTAAACCATTCAGACAAACACACCCAGTAGAAAATATATGTCTAAATGAAATAACTAACTTAAATAGAATATAAGCTGTAACTAACATAAAAAAATACTAACACGATGTGGTGGTGGTAGGAGCATCCACCACATGGAGCATCTCATTTTATTTTTCATGTTGCCAAAGATGACTAAAAACAAAGTATTCAGCAGAATGTTCACCTGTTGCATTGGACCAGAACCATGCAAGGGGAGTTGAGTGCTTTCCTAACAGCCATAACAGTTTGGATTTCTTGTAATGTAAAATTGTATGTTGAATTGGTTTGGAATTAGGGCTTTTATATGAAATGCCTTGAGATAACAATTTGTGCTATAAGCAAACTGAATTGAATTCAGTTCAATTAAATTTAACTGATCTTACCCATTGGGTAATAAATGCTTTATTACAGAATGAAATAAACAATAGAAACAATGTATCTGAGTCAGGCAACATTAATGTTCAAAGAAACCAAGAGTCAGTTCAGGGCTTGTGGTTTTTTGACTGTACAGCCGGGATGGTTTATTCTAACCAAATTCTTGCAATAATTTTGAACATAGAATACACGGAATGCAATTTAAATTCAGAAATACTACATTAATACCAAACGGAAATTGATTGTTGTTGTAACATTTTATAAGTTTCTTCAATTAATTGTTGTGTAGATGCTGATGGTTGTAGGCAGGAAGTGCTATATCTTCTATCGTGCTTATTATTATTCTTCCTTATTCAGAAGTCACAGTCATCTGTCTCAGATTCATGTCGGTGCCTGTTTACGTTGAACAATGTGGTCTTGAGTTAGCCACAGACCTCTTGATCTGCGGCTACAACATCACATGCTGTTTCTGGTGGGTAGAGCAAACTACCTGAATGTTCCAGGTCTTTGTTAAAGAAAGCCAAACAATGAGTCTGCCATGATTGCTATTGTAAATGTTCTGAGTAGATTTGGCTTCACTGAGAAAGATGCATGCTAATTGCATGCTAACCCTAACCCTATTTCCACTGTCATTGTTCCAGTCTCAGCTTTGCTTCTATTAGCTAATCAACATGAATCACAACCACTTGTTGATAAAAATAATAAAGTCAAAGAATTTCATTCAGTATGCAAGAACTTTGCTCACACACCCTGCAGAGGGTCAGAGCAAACTTCACCTGCTGATGAGGTCTTTTGGCCTCCAGGGGGTGCTGCTGAGGACCGTCTTTGGCTCTGTGGTGGCTTCGGCCATCTGTTACAGTGATGCATGTTGCAACAGCAAAAACCTGCTATCTACAGCCAAGAGGAAGAAGTTAAATAAAACTCAGCAGAAAGGCCAGTTCCGTGCTGGGATACGACCCAGTGCAGGTGATGGAAAACAAGGAAGGAAAAGAACTTTACTTAGCACCTTTCAGCCAAAGGCAACTCAAAGGACGTATACATAACACAGAAGAACTTTAGTGGAAAATAACATTATCGGTGGTCAATGTCTCCCATGTCATGCATAAAGCTGTTGCTGAACTGGAGCTCTTCTTCAGTGACACACTGCAGGCTCACGACTGTAGATCATTTCCCTCAGAAGCTGTTGACTTTCTAACCATCGCTTCTCTCAGCAAACTCACATTCCACCTGTTATTTGCACTTTTTTTTGCCCTGGTGAAGTGCGGCAAAAAGTCTAGGCAATATCATTCTGAGCTATCAGTATAAGCATTGTTAGAAATAATTAATTGCTGTATATTTCTTTTGTTCACAGATTCAGGCTGTTGTTGTGGTAAGAACTCATCTGTTGCGGCATAAAAGAGAGTGGGTTCTCCCTCCAGTACCTTTGACGGAAAATCAAGACTACACTCAAAAGGAATTTATTGCCAAGGTGAGAGACTCAAACATACAGTATCTCATTGATTTAGACATTTTGGTGTATTATGTGAGAATCACAGGTAAATGACATTTATTTCTGTTGCTTTTGTTTTGTTGGTTTTTGTTTCTTTGAGTTATAAATAATGTTCTGTTTGGAAAGACAAAACAAGCACTGCTGCTGAGAGGGCAGTGGTCCGTTTTAAGCAGGTTCAGCCATCAGGTGAACACAATATCACTCTGACACAAATCAGTCATTATTAGATAAATAATGACTGAGATGGGTGAAAGGTTAGATACTTGGTCAAGTTAGCTCCTGCTGTGTTAATAAACAGAGCCATTTGTTCTGCTTTTCAGTGCAGTGAAATTAATGAGTCTGGTTCTGTTTCAGATCCGATCAGACCGAGAGGTTGGGAAAAATGTTATTTACTCCTTAGAGGGTGTCGGAGCAAACCAGTACCCATTTCATGTGTTTGTGGTTGACCCTCATAATGGAAACGTTCGAGTGACCAGAAAGCTTGACAGGGAGGAGATTGCCCTGTACAAAGTAAGTTTCCAGCTGCAATTTGAAATAATCTGTGTGAAATGTGAACAAAAAAAACTTACATCATTTCCAGATACAGTACAACAGGAGTAAATAAGGCTTAAATCTGGCTTGACTTTAACTGAACTATTTACATGCACTAGTATTCCCTCATAACATAGATGACACATGATTCATGTAAGACTTAAAATGAGTATTTTATACTAAGATTGTGCTTGGAATTACAGCACATATGAAGAAGTGTCTGACAGAGCAAGATGCAGAAAAATCAATTCATTTTTTTTCATTCAGCGTCTTGTTTGAAATGATCGATTCAGGAATGTTTTCTAACAAAAAGATGAATGAAAAGTGACACTTTTTCATCCTTGCTTTAGAGATGTTCTATGTTCTGTAAATTTACACATTTTCACATCATCTGCTTAAAAGCTTCAGCTTGACCATAAATAGAAAACTGTCTATTTACAGTTTTGAGGGAACATTTTAATGCTGCTGCATTGTCTGTTGAACAGTTCACTCCCACTGCCCCCTGGACAAGGAAGTCAACAAAGTTTTGTGCACCTTGTGCTGAACACGCACATGTTACTACATTCTTTAGTTTGTTAGTTTTGGTTCCTCTGATTTGTGAATGTGGAAGTTCTGGAACAGGGAACTAATTTCAACTCTGAATATCTTTGATTTCTAAGTATGACAAAGACAACAAGACTCTGATTCATCTGTTTTAGCTCGCTGGTTTTGCTAAATTCTCAAATGGCAGCGAAGCAGAGCCAAAAATTGACCTGCAAATTAAGGTCTTAGATGAGAATGACAACGCTCCGACATTTGAGTCATCGGTGCTGACAGCTGAGGTGGACGAGCTTACTCCTATAGGTCAGTATGCCACATTCAAAATCCCATAAAACAATAAAAACGTCAAATGGAATTGGAAACATGATCCAATTTTGCATCAGTGTTTTAAATCCATTTTAAATGTATTATTATTATTACACTAAAACCATTAATTATGGTCAACTTTTGTACTAAATATTATCAAAAGTAACAATTTTTTTCACTTTGGTTTTATTTAAAACTGTTTTTACAGGGAATTCAGTTATGACAGTTATCGCCACTGATAAAGATGATAACACAACGGATCATGCTAAGATCGCCTACTTCATAATAAAACAGGAACCTCGTGATTATTTCAGCATGACCAAAGATGGCACAATCCATGTGAAGAATGTCTTGGACAGAGAAGTATGAACTCCACCAACAACCTCCTTTGTTTCCTGTTATTTTGATATTTTACAGGTGTGGTGTGTGTGTGTGTGTGTGTGTGTGTGTGTGTGTGTGTGTGTGTGTGTGTGTGTGTGTGTGTGTGTGTGTGTGTGTTCGTGTGTGTTCGTGTGTGTGTGTGTGTGCGTGTGTGTGTGTGTGTGTGAGGGGGTAAACTTAACAGACTTTTAGCAGGGAAATGTTCTTGTTTCAAAACGTAAGAATTTATGGTTAGTACCAGAACAGCTGCTTTGACATAGGATATAGGAAAACATTTCCATGACTGCTGGTCACATGGGAGTCAACATTGACCAGGGATCAGTCTGTCATGGCCTCTTTGGTTCTGTTGGACAGCTTTCTGCAGTGGATTTTCACATTTCCACATCAGACTTGCTTAATTTCTGAATGACTTCACATGTTACAAAAATCGTTTTACTTTGGGTCACATTTGACTTTTGCCCTTTTTCCACCGGCCCGGGTCGGGTTGGGTCGGGTCGCTTTCAGAGCTTTTCCACTGGCTTTTATTGGGGGCTGGCCCTGCTTCTTAGGGCCCTGCTTCTTAGGGCCCTGCTTCTCAGGGCCCTGCTTCTTAGGGCCCTGCTTCTCAGGGCCCTGCTTCTTAGGGCCCTGCTTCTTAGGGCCCTGCTTCTTAGGGCCCTGCTTCTTAGGGCCCTGCTTCTTAGGGCCCTGCTTCTCAGGGCCCTGCTTCTTAGGGCCCTGCTTCTCAGGGCCCTGCTTCTTAGGGCCCTGCTTCTTAGGGCCCTGCTTCTTAGGGCCCTGCTTCTCAGGGCCCTGCTTCTTAGGGCCCTGCTTCTTAGGGCCCTGCTTCTCAGGGCCCTGCTTCTTAGGGCCCTGCTTCTCAGGGCCCTGCTTCTTAGGGCCCTGCTTCTTAGGGCCCTGCTTCCAGCTGGGCCGGTGTTTTGACCATCAGTTTTACCTCGTCAGATTTTTCTATGGGAGCACAGATAGATAGCTAATGCTAATGCGCTAATAGCTAATGTGATAATGCTACATATCCAAAACTACGACTGTCATGTTGACAAACAGAAAACTATAGCGGGTTGTTTTAATGTTAAATATATTGGATAACATTATTTGAGTGATGGGAGTGAAGAGGAAGCTTCAGAGTTATACTTAGCTTAGCATTGGCACAATTTATATCCATGACAAAACCACAAGAAGATCACTTCCTTTATCTGAATATTCTACCTCTTTAAAATAAAAAGCTGTAAATGTATGCCCTAATCCTTTTACTAGAATATCCTACCTGTTAAAAAACTATTTTAAATACAGAGGTGTTTGTAGGAATAAAAGAATATCAGACAGGGGAACATGTTTTTATTACAATTCAATTAAACACAGACAAATACAGATCACCGCAAGTCTTTTTGCGCATTAATCCATTGTATGTCTGTTATCAAAAAAAAAAAAGACTGTAATTAAACTAAAACCATTTTGAAAAAATAGCTCACAAAACAACATATTTTGTTCCTATTAATCTCCAAGCAATGACTTGTTTACAGTAGGAACAACTTTGCAGATGGCAAACTAAAGCCATAAATATATTTACCAGATGCTGTCATGTAAACTAAAATCAAGAGGTAATACAGCAGCTTAACAAAAATCTGTATAAAATAAATTAAATAAAGCTTACCATTATCTTTGATGAAATGAAATATGAGATACCTCCACAGGTAGGACGTATTTATAAGAAATGTCCTGAGTAAGCAGTATGTCGGTCCGTAGCATTCAGGGGTCCTTTAGCTCCCGCCATGACAGTGTAGCTGACCTTAATATTTCCAGTGTTTTATTTTGGCCATTATTGTTCAACTCAGCGTTGATGTGTGTATGACAGGCATGTCTATCGGACAGTTATGTATCAGTTTAATACAGGACACACATTAAACGTCCACATATGGGGCGACTCCATATTTATGCAGATAGAGTTTTAGGGATGGATCCGTCACTGGCAGAAACTGTCAGTACCATTGAATCAAAACTGAAAACATTTTCTTTACAGAACCATTTGATCAGTGTCTCATTGACGAGCTGTTGACTTGAGCGCTGATGATTTATGATTAAATTTGGATTTTTTTGTATGGCACGTTGGATTGCCTGGTGTATATATGATGCTATAAAAATAAACTCACCTTTGATTTGTTATTGTAACAACAAATAATATTTTTCTTTCAGAAAGATAACATAGTCCTGCTGACAGTGACTGGTCAAGATATGTACGGTGCACCAGGGGGATACATTGCAACAGCCACCGTCACTATCAACATTCGGGACCTGAATGACAATCCCCCAACTTTGGAAAATGAAGCAGTAAATATTTTATTTAGTTTTTATCATTTGTATTGGAGCAGTTAGAACATGTTGCTATTGATGTTTTCAGATGTTATAATTGCTGTGGATTGATGATACTGCCTCTATATATTTCCAAAACAAAATATTTCCTCCTTTAGTGTCAGGCTTCTTACAATCAGTGGGACCATCATCACCTTCTTCCTGTTAGCTTTTGTGACAGCAACACCTAAACAGATCTGAGAACATGATGATGATGTTTGATATTATAGGACAGTTATTTGTTATCAACCATCTTCTGTGACAATAACTTAGCCAACATTTTCTGGTCACATATTCAAGTCAAAGAATTTCTGATGAAGAAATGTTCTATTTAAATCAATATTACTGGATTACAACATGTTTTACTGGGTTTTTTTAACAGTATGAAGGATCCATCGACGAGAACACACAAGGTGTTGAGGTGATGAGGATCAAAGCACAGGATCTGGACATTGAGCAGGAGAACAGGGAAGCTGTTTTTGAAATCGTCCAAGGCAATGAAGATGGATATTTCAGCATAAAAACTGATCCTGTTACCAATGAGGGTATCCTGTTTCTTGAGAAGGTATCATACATTTTTTACCCAGAGGCTAAATGGTTAAGGCCAAAATTATTCACTACCCTGAGGAATTAAAAGTTATTGTTGTTTTAATTTGACTGGGATGATTCTTGTGAATGGAAAGAATTGTAATGTTTTGGAGTAACCCAGCCAGAGTAAAGGCATGAAGCTAATAGAGAATCAGTTAAAGGTAAAGGTTTGGAGAGCCAATATAGATTTTATTGTCTTATTGGACACCTTTTTATAGACTGATATCAATTTTTAAGATGCTTTTTTCATAAAATGTCAATATCTACATTGATATTCTGTTTACATTGTTTTGGGGTTTTTAGTCAAGGACAAACTTATTTGTTTAATGAAAATCAGATTTTACCCAAATTTGATAGTTGTATAAATAATTATGGACATAACTAAAAATGCCCATAGTTAATGCTTTATTCATGAGTATGAATCTCTTTCCAAGACAAACACAAATTCCAGAGTCACTGCAACATGTTACCATTTACAGCACACACTCAGATACATTTAGCAAACATATTATACCGCTATGTTTGTCTCGAAACTGAGTACATTTCTGTATGCTACAGAAAACAATTGCGTGATCACACAACTACTTTTGTTTTCTACTAAGTCACTTTTATTTCTCCCAAAGACAAAATTAATGATGTATTTGAAACATAATTTATCTAAATGTAGCTACCAAAAGAAGCCTTATTCTGCATGTCATGTGCCTATTGTTACGTACCGCTACTCTCACTCTTGCTCGTTCTTCTTCTATTGACTGGTTACGGGAGAGGAGGGCCGCAATAATAGGTACGTATTGATGTAAACTAAAGGAAAAAAGAAAAGAAACAAAACGGGTTCCGTCGGGGCTTAAATTTCCGATTAGTGCTCCTCAACCAGCTGACATCCATTGAGAAGCATCCTTCATCTGTCAGACAATCTGTTCAATAGGGTTTTTTTCCCCTAATATATGTAGTTTTTTTCTCTTTTCCTAAAAATGCACCACTTCTGATTTTGTAGGTACAGGGATGGCCCAAGCCTCTATGGGGCCCCGAGCCAAATGTGGTTTTGGGGCCCTCTAGTTCTGATGACAATGTGGATGGCTGGAATCAGCAGTCTGATCATTAGATCATTCACACACCTGCTGTAAACTTATTGCATCTCTGGCGGTGCTGTTTACATAATAGGACACATTTATTGGCCAACTGATTAATTGACCAGTTGATTTCTGGGAGCCGATTTCCTCGTGAACAGTTGATACTTACATGTGAAGCTGATCTTATCCCATAATCTTATCTTTGTCAGCAAAGGTTTATAAATCAGCCTCTGTCCTCTTCTGCTGTACAGTAAGAAGTTTGACTGACAGATCAGCCCTCCGGGTCTGAACGTTTGCAGTTAACAATATCCACCCCACTGTTGCCAACTCACTGACTTTTTTAGTATATTTAGCAACATTCAGACAAAAAAAAAAAAAATTACATCAACTAAAATCAAAATCAGTAGGTCAGGTTTTAACCAGGGATCGGTCAGATAAACTGCAATCGGTGCAGTCCAACGTAAAAATAAAATACATGCACACATATTCATGACATTCTTTGATTGAATTAATTTCTCTTAAGCATTACTCCAACAGCTAAAGATGTAATTTACACCAGCTGAGTCTTTCTCCCATGATAATGTAGATTGGTACTGGACTGATTCTGAGCCTTCAAATGATTTTAACAGAAATTTCTCATAACTTACAAGTTGATGTAAAAACAATGTTTCTTTTAGCCACAAAATGATTTTGCTCAGCAGCAAACAACAGATCCCAACTACAGCATAGAGCAGCTCATCATGTAGCAGCCATGAAACCTGAAGTAAAGATATTTTGCTAGACAATGTCAAACATTGAGAAGTTTTAATTATTGTTAAACTTTATCCAACACGTCGTGTTGGATAAAGTTTAAGCTCAGTTTCACACAAACACAAAGACCCTGTTAAACTGGACTGCTCAAACTAATTTTCTATCAGCAACTTTACAAATTTTCTACATTATATTACACAAAGCTCAAGTTGGTTTCCGATTCCAGCTTCCGATTCGGGAAATGACTAAAGGGTGATTCCACCAAATTTTTCTCTACCTTTCGCATCTTTAATCGACTGTAGTTTAAAAACTAGAGCAGTGGTTCGATGGAACCCCCCGGGGTTCGATGGAACCCCCCGGGGTTCGATGGAACCCCCAGGGGTTCGATGGAACCCCCCGGGGTTCGATGGAACCCCGGGGGGTTCGATGAGCCAGTCTGAGGGGTTCGTCGGAGCCTCTGCAGTGGAGGTAAAGTTGTGATGACGCACCCCGCTTGGCCATCACTTGCTGCAGAGGATCATGTGACATTGCTTGGCCAATCAGTGCTGCGGGGAATTTAGTGTGCGCAGTAGTCAACGGCTGTCATAGTTGTACGTTATGTGGTTTCTTTCTCAATATTTTAATCCACACTTAACATGTCGAGCAAAAAAAAGAAAGTGGTCGGACAAACATGTACAACAGGGGTGCTCAATATGTCGATTGTGAACGACTAGTCGACTGGTTGATCGCGATTCGCGTATTTAGGATCCCTATTTTGAGTTGATCACCTGTTTGGGTTGTTTCACCTTTGTTGACCTTTGCTGTGGTTCATCACAGCCGCTGCAGTTTCTGAATGTTCAATAAACGACAAACTTGGACTAATGACCTCACTTGTTTGCAGTAAATGTCACAACAAACATCAAATAGGACAAATATATTTGATTAAGTTTTTACAAACATCATGATAATTATGTGAAATTAAATTAATTATATTCCAAATTCAGAAGATTTGCCTTTGCAGTGCTCTTTGGTTCCTCCCTATCAGTCTGTAGTTTCTCATATTGACGTCATCAAACCAAAGTTCAAATCTACCATAACTGACTGACTCCTGCTGGCCTCCTGTTTGCAACCAGCTTCTGACTGAGAAACCAGTAACTTCAGAATCTTACTGAGGAAGAAACTGTATTACTATATTATCACTTTATCGTTTTTGATGTAACTGATGTATTTTCGTATAGAAAATGAGTCAATAGGATTTAATTTACAATTTTATGTCTTCGTATCATGAGGTAGATCTCAGCTGGCTGGTGAGAGAAAAAGTAGATCTTGGTCTCAAAAAGTTTGAGCTCTCCTGATGTACAACATGGATTCACATGTATCACGGAACGGGATGGGAATCAGCGTCCCATCTGCTTGATATGCAATGCCAAGCGACTCTAGTCTCATATTGACAACACTAAGGGAACACTTCTTGAAGCTGCATGGGAAAAGTAAAAAAGTATTTTGTGGATTTAAAACGATAAAAAATAAATTAAGTTTCAAATGTAAAAAAATTAAGTTGTTAAAAAAAATTTAAATTCTTTTAAAAAATCCTAATTTATTTTAAATTAGTAAAATAGCAAAAAATAGGGCTGAAATTATTTTATGGGGCCAAAATAATTGTGGTGGGCCAGAATCAAGTAATACCATCATTTGTTGTGAGTTCATGGTTTTGTTCTTTGAGCAATTTAATGTTCATGCATGACTCATTTTGTGCACCAGTACCAGTACAAAAAGAAAATTTTGGGGAAAACATCATATTTTATTTATCACAGAAGAAGGGTTCAGTGAATGCTCTTATGAAAATGGTGGATTCAGTAGCTCAAAAAAGGTTAAGAACCACTGACCTAGACTCTTCAAACTTGGACTAGACTATTCTGCTCTAATAGCAGAATATTTAGGACCATGTTTGAGATTTGTGAAACAGTTTTCTGATTTGTGAAACTTCCAAAAAGTGCAATTTCCAAAACACTTTTTCTCCTGGTCACACAAGCATTGCTCTAATTCCAAATCTACAAGACCTGGACTCTTCAAACCGAGACTAAATTATTCTGGTCTGGTAGCAGAATATTTATAACCATGTTTGGGATTCGTGAAACCTTTTTCTGATTTGTGAAACTTCACTTAACAGACCGCTGCAGAAGATCTTTCCTTCCAACAGCCATCACCATCTACAATAACTCTTTGAAGAATTAATGAGTTACACCAACATTTAATGTCCCATTGGCATTAATAATGTGGTTTTGAATTAGTATTACATTTGAATTTGAAAAAAAAAATGCATGGAACAAGTGTGAATAGTAATTTAAACTTTAATGAAGTTTCAAATCATGTCAAGGTTTCACAAATCCCAAACATGGATTAAAATATTCTGGTAGAATAATATATTCCAGGTATGAAGTGTCTAGTGGTTTTTAAACTAGAGTTTATTAAAGATGTGGAAGGTAGTGAAAAATGAGGTGGAATTGCCCTTTAGCCATTTCCCGAATCAGAACATCGAATCGGAAACCAACTTGAGCTTCGTTTATCTTACTGAGACACATTGAAACAAACCTTTATCTCGGCTTTTTTCTATTCTTCCTCTTTCTTTTCTCCCTCCCTGAAGGATAAGTCCTTTTTGAGACATTGTTTTGCTTATTTATTTATCTTCTGATTGGAGCTTTGAATGTTTGGATGCTCTGCACACTGGCGTAGTACCTACCGTGGCCACCAGGGTGTCCCAAGAGAAATTTATTGTATATTTTTGAGATTATAATGACACAGAAATAAAAAATGAAAAAAAAAATCAGCCTTGGGCCAGTCTTAAAAGTCCTTTAACATACAGGCAGTTTTTTTCCAAAGAATCAAAGCAAAAGAAAACAAACTTCGTCCCGATCAAAAGATCCGATGCTCCTCTCTGGGTGGAACTGTCCCAAGGTGAAGGGGGACAGTTCCCCCTTCACCTTGGGACCTTCCAGAGCCTTCCTGCACCGTACTTTAAGTTATTTTTTATTTAACAAAAACTCCACTGCTGCAGCAGCTTCAAATACGCCACACATCACTCATCAATCTGAGCTGTGCCACCAGCCCAGCTGAAAACGCTTGGGCTGGTGGAGAACTGCCAGTCAGGAGATGGAAGCAAATGTAACACTATGTCCAGTTCATTACAGGCGGTCAGTCACTGAACACGTTACAATAACTGTGTTTGCAAAAGAAAATTCTGTTTTCATTGATTGACTTAATTTCTCACACAAATACTAATGCACATAGATTTTAAAGAATCATAACTGTATACTCTGAACTGACAAGAAAAATATTGTTTATCCACACATGCAGCTGAATCACACACTGAAAATAGTGTTTAACTAAGTTTTCATTTTTCTGTTCCTTTTTCAGTCTGTTGACTTTGAGAACGTAAAAGGCATGGATCTGGGGATAGCAGTGCGGAACAAGGCTCCACTAGTTGATGGGTCTGCTTCAGCTAGTGGAGCTAATATAGGTTTTGGAGGAGGAGCCGGTGGTGCCGGTGGTGCCGGTGGTGCCAGCAGTGCCGGTGGTGCCGGTGGTGCCAGCAGTGCCGGTGGTGCCGGTGGTGCCAGTGGGGCTAGTGGTGCCAGTGGGGCTAGTGGTGCCAGCGGGGCTAGTGGTGCCTCGGGTGGCAAATTTAAAACTTATCCAATAAAAATCAATGTAAAAAACCAACCAGAAGGACCGCATTTTGAGCCCCAAGTCAAATCTATCCCCATCAAGGAGGGAACGGCCATCGACATGAATAAAGTGATTGCCAGATATCCTGCAATCGATGGAGATACTGGGGAACCAGCAGAGGATGTCAAGTCAGTGTATACACAAGCACAAAGCTTATGCATTACAGCTTCAATTTTTATGGACTCACATTTTTTTTCTATTTATGATGCATAGATATTTAAAAGGCTCAGACCCTCAGAACTGGCTCAGCATTGACCCCAAGACAGCTGACATCAAACTGAACAAGATCCCTGACAGGGAATCCCCATTCCTGGTCAACGGGGTGTACATGGCTGAAATACTCTGCATCACCGAAGGTACTGTTTTATTATTTAAGGTTTATCGTATTGGGACACAATTTAAGAACTAAGTTAGAATTCCAGGTTATACCTGATCCCTTGCTCCTTTAAATTGAGATGAGCAAAATATGTCATTATTAAATATGTACCCACTGTAAGTTTAAATTGTCATTGTGAAGTTAATTGCAGCATCAAGTTCAACAGGCAGATGGTAGTAAGAATCATTTCTGTCTTCCTATCGTAGCAGTTCTATTACGGTGTTTTATTTCTCCTCTTGTTTTGGTTGGCCTGTGTAAATCACTGTGTTGTGCGAAACCAGAGCATCAACACTGAGACCGTTGGGAAGAGGTGGGTTCAGTATGCTGCAGAACAAAGTCTAAGTGACTCTTTTGTGACGTGAATGGGATCCGACTTCAATCTAACACGTCTACCAGGTGTACACTGCAAACTTGAGCCAAATAGTTCTCTTTATGAGATGGTGTAGAGTAGACAAATTATTGAACGCAGCATAAAACGTTTTCCAGATGTCTTCTATAAAACAGAAAAACAAACTAAGGATTAAATTCTTGTGTTTTCTACTAGATCAGTACCGATTGGTACCGATAATTCTCACATGGATTTTGTTGTGAGGTTTTGGTTCATTTAGACTAATATCTGTGTTAAAGGAAATTGAACCACCAAAAAAAGTGTTTTTTATTTTTTTTTTACCAGATATGTCTTATTGAGATTAAAAATCTATTTTTCAATAGATACCTGAGGAAGACTGGCAGCAACACCCCAAACTCTCAACAGTTTTCTTCAACTGAAATAGACCAGCTGTGTAAACACCCTCAGAGTGACTCTAGTTTTTGTTTTACCATTTTCAAATGATTTCTGCCTCCACTGGGCTGGTAAAACACCAGCCTCTTGTTCCACGCTTTTCCTTACTGGACATTGACAAACGATTGCTTCCTGGAGACGTGGACTCTGTTGAAGTTTTCAGTTTTACCCTGTCACTAACATTTGTCCACGACATATGTCAGTGTTTCCCAATGCTAGTCCTCAAGGCACATGTTTCAGGTATTTCCTTGCTTCAGTCCAACTGATTTCAGTTGATGACTGATTAACAGGCATTTGTTGAACTGCAGTCAGTTGAATCAGGCACATTAAAGCAGGGAAACCCAGGGAAACACTGACGTATGTAATGCACCAGTTCAATGCTAAGAAGCTTATCGGAAATTGCCTTCACTGTGAACAGCCGCCTTTGATTGCAAAGAGAGAAGAGCTAATTCAAAAGAAACGGCTGACGATGTTACTTCAGATTCGGTAGCACAGATTGAACAACTTTGTTCATTTCCTCTGCTGCCATTGTAAAAACTACTGGCAGACTACAATTCTAAAACAGTGCAGAAAATCAATATCATTGTTCACAACTTCGCATTCTGTCCTCTGGTTAGCTCAGTAGAAAATCTACCAGAGGAATGCACTTCAACAAGAGAAAGTCCCGTCACACCATTGAAGTGAGATTAGGATTGAGTGGAATTGTATAGGAAGGCAAATGACCAAGCTGACCACCAGTGGTTTTAGGGAACAAATTTTTAAAAAACTCCAGCAGCAAAAAAGAGTTGACTCAGTTGTCTGATAAACCTGCTACAGCCAGGTTTATCAGACAAAATAAAGGATCACAAAATAGGTTATTATTTTTAAAGAGAGGCATCTTCAGGTCAATAATCCACATTTAGTTTTTTTTTACTTTTGTATTATTTTTATAATTCTTTTAGTAAATTATAAACAAAAAAAGGTTGGTTGTTAAATGAAATGTTTACACACTCAGTGAGGTAATAATGGCAACAATAGAAGCTGCAGAAACTATCATTTGTTTTTGTGCTTAAGACAAGTTAAGGTAAATAAGTAAAAAAAAAACTTTTATGTGTTGTGGTCCTATTTTACTAACAAAAGATTCTAACTGTGTGTCCAGTTGTTCTTCAGACTCCATTTATTTTTCTGAAAAGAATCAAATAAAATAAAAAAACAGAAATCAAGAAACACTACAATGCCAATAAATAAACACAATGGAATGTTGCTGTAATGTGGAAAATATGACATTATTGAAATCTCCTTAACTGTGTTACTGAGAAAAAGGGGCAAACTTTGACTGATTAACTGTTTTTGCTTCATGATTACAGGGATGCCAAGTAAAACAGCGACTGGCACCGTAGCCATCCAGGTGGAGGATTTCAATGACCACTGCCCTGAGCTGACCAGCAACGTCATGTCTGTGTGCAAATCCAACAAGACAATCATTGTTAATGCCAAAGATGAAGATGCATTTCCTAATGGCCCACCTTTTAAGTTTTCCATTCTCCCTGGGAGCACAACAGTAGATTGGAAAATTAGGCCCTACAACGGTAAGATAATATATGAAGCTAAATCATTTGTAAAGAAAATTAGAATCCTGCAAATATTTACAAAAATCACATTATGCTATGTTTGTTTAAATTTCATGTTCCCCATGACAAGACTTTCATAAAAGTAACAACATAGAAAACAAGTTTTTCATGAGTGACTTCTTTTCAATAGTAGGATTAGGGCTTTGACTGCAGAGATCACATGTTGCCATTGTTAAAAACAAAGTAACATAATTTCATTTGTTTGAATGCTGAATTATGACGCTAAATACTAAAGAGAAAAGGCTGCAGGTAGTGTGTAATGGTGTGTAGTTCCCAATTCTTTTACCACCTTTGTGCTCAGATTTTGGTCCACACACACATACCGATGTGTAAACACACGGTATGTGTGTGTTTTGGTCCACACACACATACCGATGTGTGTTTACACATCGGTATGTGTGTGTGGACCAAAATCTGAGCACAAAGGTGGTAAAAGAATTGGGAACTACACACCATTACACACTACCTGCAGCCTTTTCTCTGATTACAGACAAATAAGCACACAGTAAGCACACACATCTGATAGGGTGATGGCAAGGAGGCCTTCCAACCCTAACCCTAACCCTAACCCAACCTCAAAGTTCATCAATCTCTGTGTTTATTTTTAATAATTATGGTAAGGATTTAACAGTTTAATGATTTGATTACTGTAGTGGTGATAAAGATTTTTTCCATTGATTATGAAAGGCTTTTTTAAACTGATCCTCTGTTTGCAGAGTTTCATTATGTTTTAAGTTCTCCTGTCTCATTTCCAATCAGAAACAAATGTCTGTTTTGAAAGAAGATCATTTTGAACCTATATTAGCCAGAGATGTTAATCATTTCAGTTCAACATTTCTGTCACTGAGACAATAAGCTCAATTCCCCAACATGTTTTTGCCAACAAACATGTTCCTTTTCAGTCCCACTTTTTCCTGAAGAGGCAGGTTCTTAGTTAATTAAATTAAAATAGACTTTATTACATTCTATGTACGAAACTATGCTAAAAAAAAAAACTACGCATTTAACATGTGTAACTGACTGCTGCTGAACTTTGGCAAATGGGAAAAGATAAATTGTATTTAAAACAATGTTTGAAATTTGACTTTGTGTATCAGACATATATTAACTCATTAACTAAATATTCTTCAAATGTATATGTCTGTTAGGCTCATACATCTACGGTAAATTACAATGTGAAAGTTTTAATAATGCATGTGAAATATGTTGTATTTGACAGATACCGCAGTAGCTCTGACCACATCTGATGTTGTGTGGTCTACCGTCAGCGAGCTGATGCTTGTGGTGGAAGACCAACAGAAACTCTCCTGTCCAAAACCACAAAAACTCAAACTCTTTTTCTGTGACTGTACGAAAACATCGGACTGTTCAAACACAGAAGCCATGATTGGGCAAAAAACAGCATTAGGACCTGTGGGCCTTGGAGTTCTTTTTCTGGGACTTTTGGCCATACTACGTGAGTGTAACTCAGTACTTATTTCATTGAAAGATTGATGAGGAGCTTTGGTCTTGCTTAAGAGGCACATGTGAAATGATCAGAGAGAACTCACACTGCTTAGCTCTAATTAGTTCTGAACTGAAGAAACTTCATGAAGTCAAGTTTTTATATAAATAAAAATCCCATGCTGCTTCAGAAAGACAAGACATGAAAACATGACTGAGAAAACAAAAACAAATGAAATGATAGATTATCCTATTCAGTATCAGTGTCAATTTCTTTATAATGAACTTTAGAAACTGCTATGAAAATGCTGTGCAGTGTTCCTAAAAACACAGATAAAAAAACATACGAATAATAACACAAATTAATACAAAGAGTAAATTACAATGTTAATGATAAAGAATGAACATGAGTTTTAAGGAGTGATTTGAAGTGTTCAAGACAACGTGTAGTAGATCTTATGTTGAAGGGTAAATTATTCCACAAATTAGGCGCAGTGATGGCGAATGCCTGGTCTCCTCATGAAGTCATTTGAATAAAGCAAATCCTGCATTGTGCATTATTGGGTAGAGCATCTGGCAAACTGTTGAAACAGGATGTTTAGAACTAGCTGATCTGATAACATTACCTGCAGTGTCAGCAACAGCTGAAGTAAGAATGTATATTTTTGGCAAAATAACACTGGTGAACCCTCTTACTAAGTAATCTAGAGGAAAACTTCATGCTAATTGTGTGCACTGCTGAAGCTACACTTCACAGTAATATTACACCATCTGCTGTGGGAAGCTGCTCCTCTTTAATCGCCGTCTGCTTGTATCATTGGAAAGCCTGACAGAGAGATGCTGAAGTCAGAGACATGAGCACTCTGTTGGTCTACTCTTAAATGAATTATATACTTTTGTCTTTCAGTCATTCCCTTTCTGATGATCATAACCATGTGTGGGAAAACCCCATTTACTAAGCTGACCTTTGAACCAAAACAACAACTCATACCATACAACACTGAGTGCCAAGGAGAACTATTGGTGAGACAAACATGTTTACAAGCATGACTTGACTTTTAGAGCAGCACACATATTTGTTTTCAGAAGACATTTATTGGAAAATTGTATATTCAGGTTCTGACCTAATTTGACAAAGATATACAAAGATTTTGTGCTAAAAAATATGCATCCTTGACCTTTCATAGGAAAACCTGGTGATAAAATGTCCTCCACAAAGTCAAAAATGTGACTTTGGCTTTGCACAAATGGAACAAACTCCAGAGTTTGCAGAGGAGCAGGTTGTTGCTTCCATGAACCCAGGCGCTTCCAGTCAGTACAGATCGTTTGGGTTACGTACCTGGGAGAAAAGCACCTCTCACTTTGAGTCTGAAGGTGGACAGACAAGAGGAGGAGCTGCAACAGAATGTTTCAGTGAGATGTTGCCAGACAGCTGCCTGAGAGAATACTTCGACAACAAGGTGAGAAATCAATGTTCACACAAATTTTAAATCACTGGCATTTCAGCAAATCTATAGCAAATATCTGCAATCCTTCCCATTCATGGTCTCACATTTGCTACTAATGTTTCCCATCATCTTTTCTCTACATTTTGTGCATTGCACTGTACATGAAGTTCAGTACTTTTATTAGTTGAAAACATAATTAACCAGAGGACATTTGTGAACAAACTCTGCATCACTGTTGAGTGCATTTTGAGGCCTGTGTAATGGCCTCAAAAACAGAATTTGTAATAATAATTAGGATTAGCTTAGTGATTTGTTACCATGTCAAGTATTTTTTTTATTCCTTGATACAGCCTTTAGTCAAATACACAAAAGTAAGAGCAGGTAAGTGGAGTAATTATCCACTTGTTCTGAAAGTGGGAATTCTAAAGTCCTCTTAACAGAGTTGCAGTTTTAGATCAGGAAGATCTTCTCATCAGAGTAACTATTAAGAATGTTTTAGCTTTTTATTCGTCCAAAGAGTAAAGGCACTGATTAAGTGATGATCCCAGCCTACTCCCTCTTGCATAACCACTATGTAATTGTCAGACCTTTTAATACAATACATAATTCCTGGAGTTTCACATCATTTTTGATATGAAAATTATTTGAATGATTCTCATTCCTTTAATGCTGGTAAAATCTGCATTGACGTTATGTCTTTATTTAACTATGCCACCTATACACATTTATCATTACAGTTCTATCCTAGAAAAATTCTCTCTCTGTCTTTCTCTCGCTTATTAGAGGGTTTCATAATTTGGTTAATATGTAGATCTTAAAGTCAGAATTGGTTTTTCATTTTTATACTGTTAATGTGAAAACAGATAAACTCTTAATTTCCTACAGCTTACCAGTGGAGATGAGAAGATTGTGCAAACAGATCACATTTTGGTGTTTGACTATGAAGGCAATAACTCCTCTGCTGGCTCTGTTGACTGCTGCAACAATTTGGAAGAAAACTATGACCTGCGGTTCCTTGATGATCTTGGACCAAGCTTTAAAACACTTGCTGAGATATGTGGAGGTAAAATAGTCCAAACTGAGACAACACAGGTGGACACTCCTCTACCTAAACCTTCTGTCAATAGCATTCAAGTGTCAGTACCAAAGTTGGCAACAAGCCAAGAGATGTCCTTGCCATCCAAAGTGCAGCCAGCTAAGTTCACAACTGAGCAGACTTTAATCAGTAAAACCAATAAAACAACTGAGCATGCTAAAATAAGGGAGAGCAAGGCCACAGTGAGGGAAGGGATGACCTCAGTGGAAACAGGGAAGTCACAGAACCAGATGCTAGTTGTAAACCAACAGCAACCTGTCTATTTCAGCTGTGCACCCATGCTGCAGCCCATTCAATATGTTGTTCAGCAGCCACTTCAGAATGCCATGATACTAGCTGAAACACCTGGCCCTAACCTTCAGCACATGGTAATGGTTAATGGCACTGATTTTGCCTCATCCCAGGGAGTTATTGTTCAAGGCCAAACAATGATGCCTAGTGGCCAATCCCAGAGCCTTGGGGCAGTTCTGGTGGACAGCAATGGGATCCAAGGATCCACTGGCAACATCGTCCATGCAGGAAACTTCTCTGGCGCCCAAAATATGATGGTTGTTGAAAGCCAGGTCCCTGTAGGAACAGTGAAAGTATTAAATGGGAATGAGGCTAGCCTCATTCAAGGTGGTACAATGCTAAATGACTTGTCAAGATGTCAGACAATGTTGACAATTGGGGAGTCAAGCAGCATAGGACAGCAGCTTCAGGATGGAAAAGGTGCCTTCCAAACAGCTGAAGTCACTGGGGTTCAAAAAGTTCATGACCTCAGTGTTGGGGAGTCCAGTTGCTCTAAGAGTCGCACCTCTTCCAACACACTCACTACAACCCATACTACTCATAAAACTGTTGTGCAGTAGTCAGGAGAACTAAGATACAATGCCTGTCAGGTGGTCAACAGACAATAGGGTGTGGTCTATGGTGATGGGAGTTCATATTAGACATATGTTAAGGTCAAAGCTGTACTGCAGTTAGTATTTGAATCTGTGCCCATTAAATTGAGCTAAAATGCCATAATCTTTGTTCTGGCATAACCTCTAAATTTTCACTACCTAAATTACCATGCAATTATAGTTGAAAGACATCATTAGAATGTTCTACCATTGCACTCGACTTCTCCTGACCTAAACTGAATGGGACCAATAGAGGTATCTGTATTGGGAAGGCCTCATTCAAGGTGGGACAATGCCTGTAAACCTTTTCATCTACAAAATCAAAAATAAACCTTGGTTTTTTTTAAACTTGCACCATTATTGCATAGCTAATAGTAACAGTGATGGGAATTCTCTTTTGTATGATTTTGAAAAGAATGGCAACAGCAAAGACCAAAAACTGATCCCATCTGGTTTATTCTAATCTGTAGAGCACATTGTATTCATTTGCTGCAATTATTGGCTTGTTTGTTAGCGTAATACTGTCTGGGACATCTTATCTGTCTACAAATATCCATGCTGTTTCTGTAGCTCAAGACTGCTCTGGGGATGAGATGACTCTGTCTTACACACACACTCATACACTCACACTTTTTTCATTAAGAGTATTTTGTCAGGTTTCAGAGTTATTTTTTATGTTTATTAGTCAGTACCATTCTGTTAGGTGGTTAAATTCTTTTTCTTTAAACAGTCTAAATGCTGAAATTAGGGGCTTTCTCTTATGGTTATAATATGTTTATAAATATTGAGACTTCAAATAAAGAAATATATGCTTGTCATTCTGTAAACATTGGATGCAGCAAAAGAGCAAGTTTGATAATAAAGATGATTTACTGTTCAATTTTCTTTGTTTCCTTCCTTGACCTATGCTATCTTTTTCACTATCTTTTACACAGAGGTTTTTCTGTAAAGTGCAATTAAGAGGCCTCATCATATGTCTTCAAAACTGGATTTTTACTTTTGTGCTGCTCATCTTCACTCTGGATATGATCTGCAGAAAATCTGATTGCAAGTGCAGTTATTTAACCTTCATACAGAGAAAATTGTTGTGCAAGAAAATTCCAAGAGCTGAAAAAAGTTATTGTCAGCGAAATGCATGAATCTTGCTTTAAAATGAAAAATGTGTGTTGATATAGAGCAGAAATGAGGCAGATCTGTGGTACAGGGAAATGATCAGTGAAGTCAAATAAAGAGGACTCACTGGAGTAATATGCGGATCTTCTGTGCGTGCGTGTGTGTGTGTGTGTGTGTGTATGTCCACTAGTAAGTGATGATGTAATCACACAAGAACAAGTGGCACAAAAAGAAACTGTTCCAGCATGAGTCACTTTCAAGTTACTGTTGAAGAAGTTCATTTTTAGGGCCAAATACTGGAAAAAATGGATGAAGTGCTTCAAAAAATTTCATATTACATTTGACTCATATTGTAAAGTGCCTTAAGATTGTGAGTTAGTGCACTGTTGCCTTGCAGCAAGAAGATCCTGGGTTGAAGTCCCGACCCGGGGACTGTTCTTAATGTGCGTTGGTTGGTTTTCTTCTGACACTTCAGCTTCCTCCCACAGTCCATATGTTAATTGTGTCTCTGTCCTGGGTAAATACCCTTTCTTGTCCACTGTCTGCTGGAGATAAGCACTAGCACCTCTCACAACCCCAAAAGGTAAGTATGTTAGTTAATAGATGCATAGATGGGACTGAAAAATTGTGGCGCCAAAATCAAAATTCACTTATTGTTTTTGTTGAGGAAGCAAAAAACATCCTGGCATCCTGACTCTTGAGGAGACAAACGATTTTGGGCCTTATGACAAAAAATAACATTGGGCCTCCTCTGTGCAACGGCTGTTACGACCCAACCAAAGTGTTTAAAATTATTTTAAAGGCTTGCAACTGTCTTTTCTTTGGTTCAATATGGATATTGGCACGATATTTAATGCTACTCAATTTTACATGCAACAGTTTGCATACAGAATGTGAATAGGTAAGTTTTCAACATTTTTTTGCTGAAAGATTTTTCTCCAACAGTAACAGTCACAGGCAAGGTGCAAAATGTAGATAAAGCTTTCCAGACTTCTCAAAAAATGCTATGTATTTGCATTTTGGTAAAGCTGCAGCATGTAACTTTCATTAAAAAAAATTGTTTTCCATATTAATGACCAAATTGTACTCATTGAATCAGCACCTCCTAACTACAATATTTTTAAGTGAGAATAGAAAACATAAAAAAGAAGGAGGCGTGGCTTCTATATTTAAGAAAACCATAAATTGTAGTAAAATTTCTTTGGGTCATTTCATGTCTTTTCAGTATCTTGGAATTCAGTTTGAAGGATACAAACGAACTTTGACACTAACTTTATACAAAACTCCATCATATGTGGAAAATTTCTTTACTGACTTGGAATGATCTTTTATCTCTCATATGCATTGATTATGATTGTGTCATAAATTGTGGTGGTGGAGGTGGTGAGGCAGACGCTAGAGACCCAGGTAAGTTGAATGATGAAATATTTAATGAATAGTCCACAAAAACACAACAATGTAGTCCGCGGCCAGGCAGCACGGCTGAGCTGAAGCCAGGGCTCAACGCCGGTAGCAACTGGTCATACAGGCGGCTAAACAACACACAACGGCAGACAAAGGCAAAAGTACGACTAGGACCCGACGAGGAACAAAGGACACAGGAGGGACTAAATACACTGAGGGTAATCAAGGGAACAAGACACACCTGGGAACAATCAAGGGGAAGACAGGACAACGAGGAGACTAGGACACAGAGAACTCAGAATAAAACACAGAAAAACACAGAACCTGACAGATTGTTTAATTATTGTTGGTGATTTCAACATTCATGTGGACAAACCCCAAGACAGAGGAGCAAAAAAGCTTTTAATATTTTGGATAATTTTGGTTTAACACAACATGTCACACACAACACACACTCAAGGACACACACTGGACCTGGTTATCAGTAAGGGTGTGAATATTTCCAATGTCTCTGTAACTGATGTCGCCCTGTCACTTTGCTGTTATCTATGAAAGTTCTTTATTCTTTGACCCGCTTGGACAAACAGCTACTGTCACAAAACGTTCCTTCACAGAAAACAGCAGAAACATTTAATCAAATCTACTCTTCCTCCTCACCCTTAAGCTGTAATGATGTAGATAAGTTGGTAGATGATTTTCAGGCTAAAGTTTCATATATCATTGATTCTATTAACCCAATTAAAGTAAAGGTTGTGTCTGGTAGGAAGAAATCTCCATAGAGAAAAGCACAAACAGTTCGATCTGCAAGAGAACTCTGTCTCAGAGCAGAACCAAAATGGAGTAAAACTCAACTTTACGTTCATAACGACATCTATAAAGAAAGACTACGTAACTATCACTCAACACTAAAACATGCAAGGGAGGCTTTCTTTGCAGATGTCATAAACAAAAACATGAACAATGCTGGAGCTTTATTTGCAACAGTTGACAGGCTCAAAACACTCCTATGACGTTACCACATGAATCCAATCTAATGCTGATGGAACAAGTTTTCCAGCTTCTTTTCAGAGAAAATTCAAAGAATCAGAGGATTAATAATTGCAGACTCTAAAGCCAGAACCACTGCTGTACCCAAACAGAACAAATACAGGAAAAATGACCCATTTTCAACTACTTCATTCTAAAACCCTAGAAGAAATTATAAGTCAGTTAAGTTCAAGCTCCTGCTGTCTGGATGTTCTAGATCTATAACTCTAGAACATTTCTTTAAGAAAGTCCTGCCTGTTATTGCTACTGATCTGATCCTAATAGTAACTCATCGCTTACATCAGGTGTTTTCCCCCAGGCTTTGAAAACAGCAGTTATTAAACCACTGCTAAAAAAGAACAAGCTGGACAAATCACTACTGCAGAATTACAGGCCGACCTCTGACCTCTGACCTCCCATTCATCAGCAAAGTTATTGAAAAACTGTGTAAAGAATTAAATAGTTTCCTCCTGATGACCAACTGCTTGACTCCTTCCAGTTTGGTTTCCATGGTTACCACAACACAAAGACCGGCCTAGTCAAAGTATTCAATGATATCCATATAAATACAGACTGTGGGAGAATCACAGTGCTGGTTCTGTTGGACCTCAGTGCAGCTTTTGACATATTACTGAATGGACTGGAGAGTTGGGTCGGACTCTCCGGTTCGGTGCTCGACTGGTTTGAATCTTACATAAAGAACAAGGATTTCTTTGTTTCAAACTTCTCATCAAAGAGGTCAAAGGTCACATGTGGGGTACCCCAGGGTTCAATCCTAGGACCCCTCTTATTCAATATTTATATTCTCCCACTTGCTCAGGTTATAACAGGAAATAATATTAGCTATCACAACTATGCAGATGACACACAGCTCTACATTACGATGTCACCATGTGACCTTTAACCCCAACCAATCACTGAATAAATGCTTAGAACAGATCAACGTGTGGATATGCCAAAACTTCTTCCAGCTGAACAGAAACAAAACTGAAGTCATTATTTTTAGACCTAAAGAGGAACAATCTAAAGTCAATGCACAGCTTCAGTTATTACAACTAAAAATTAGCGATCAGGCCGAAACCTGGGAGTAGTGATGGACTCGAATTTGAACCTTGCGAGCCACATAAAGACAGTTACAAAGTCGGCCTTCTATCACCTGAAGAACATCTCCAGGATTAGAGGACTAATGTCTCAGCCAGATCTAGAGAAACTCATCCATGCGTTTATCTTTAGTCGCATTGATTATTGTAACAGTGTCTTCACAGGCCTGTCCAACAAATCAATCCTCCAGCTGCAGCTGATCCAGAAGCTGCTGCTCCTGTTCTCACTAAAACCAGGAAGATAGAGACATAACAGCAGTTTTAAAGTCCCTCCACTGGCTCCCTGTAGCTCAAAGAATAGATTTTAAAATACTGTTGTTAGTTTATAAATCACTGAACGGTTTAGCACCACAATACATCAAAGATCTGCTGTTGTTTATCAACCTTCCAGACTCTCAGGTTCTGGTTCTGGTTCTGCTCTGCATCCCCAGAACCAGAACCAAGAGAGGAAGCAGCTTTCAGCATCTATGCACCAAAAATTTGGAACAAACTTCCAGAAAACTGTAAAACAGTAGAAACCCTGACTTCCTTTAAATCTCAACTAAAAACACACCTGTTTAGAATTGTATTTGAAATGTAATATGTAACAATGTATTGTTTATTTCATGATGCATGACTTTGTGTTCTTGTGTTTATGATGTAAAGCACTTTGAAATGCCTTGCTGCTGAAATGTGCTCTACAAATAAGATTTGATTAGATTTTTTTTTTAGGTAAAACTGTCACCATGTTAACAGTTTGTTGAGACAGAAAATCTGTGATAAAATGCTTCTCCTCCACCTCCTCTCTGAGCTACTCTTGCACTCTTAAGTAATGCACCACTCTGACCAAAAACAGCCAATCAGAGTCAGGAGGAGGGTTTTAGTGCTGTCAGCCAATTCTGCTAAATGTTTAACTGCAGAAAAATAACATTGTTACAGGAAAAAATAACATTGTTACAGGAAAACTGTTTATCTGCCATCATTAGTAGCTATGCTAATTAAACTGAGCATTCACAACAGGCTTTGCTAGCTGTAGCGTAGCCCACAGCAAAGGGAAAAGTAGATGAGTGGCAGCACATGAGGTTGTGATTGACAGCACTAAGATCCACCTCCTCTCTTTTAATTGGTGGTTTCTAGATAGCACTCGGAAAAGGCAGCGCAATTAATATTTTTCCTCACAGATTTTCCCTCATACTATTCTACATAATGACCTTTTTAACAAATGGAGATGAAAAGACAGATTGGCGCAGTGTTTAGA